GAAAACTCACGTATTATCCGTAACACTGAAACAATTTAAAATATAAACCTTGAAACATAGAAGTTGACCTTGAGGTGTGAGGCTCGTTGAGTAAGCGTCTTGTAATGTCACTATGCCCAAATCAGTTTAAACATTCAATAGATTTTGGCATATAAAATGAAGTCGAGAGGCACATTGATCCGATGACTCAGTTCTTGACTAGTGCGAATGCCTCTATGTAAACATAATCCCAATGGTTGTACAATCAACAGAATTACTCCGTCTAGAAATAAATCAACAGGTAGAAAATGTGTCACATGGAAGCAATACGATAGTGAAATATATATATATATATATATATATATATATATATATATATATTTCACTATCGTATTGNAAGCTAAGATGGAAAAAATCGCATTTTTATTTATGCTTTCTTATAGCCACGCTGAACAGTTTTATTGAGCTCTCCCTGACAATCGCCTGGTGGTCTTCCTACCATATTTCGCTGCACACGTGCACGCATAAGAATATACAAAAAATGAGGTAAATAAAACAGGTAATTTATCTTTGCAGTGAAACTGCTAGATAGACTTCGTATTAAAGATGAGATAGCTTAACAGCAAAAGTGTGCTTTTCCGATGGCACGGGATAATCGACGAGTTAGCGTATTTCCTTTGAAATTGATCATTGCCTAAATCCATGTTTTTAGGACAGCAGCACAACAAAACTGAGAACCAGTGATTGATTGCCTTTTGATGAAGCTTCTGGATGGCCTTTATTCCTGAACTTGTTGTCTACCAGAAGCCCTTCATCTGAAAACTTGCTGGCGGAGCAGACTTGTCTGGCTCTATGGACCAACCAACACTTTCGTTTCTATTGCATTGACACAAAGTTCTGAAAGTGAGTGTATTATCTGCTCTACGTAGGATTGTGATCGACACTGAGGCTGATTTTTAACCAATAGTCGTTAACTGTCGTTTGAGTGAACTTTGTTACTTTTTATTTCAAATGCCCATACGGAATAGAGGATTTGAATTTTCAAATCCGTGAAAATAATAAATTCATGGAGACCAAGGCTGCAAATAGATGGAGAGAATACTCGAATCCGACTGTTTGAGACATTCAGCCGTATCACTCGGTGATGAGCTCAAGCGAAAAGGAGCCGTAAGCTCTAAGTTGGTTTTGGCTATTCGTATAAAGGGATCAGAAGAATGAAAGTAACTTCTCTAGTACACCACTCATTACGAACGGCTCTGGCTGCAGCGGTCGACACGGATGGTTTGGGTTCTGCAGTATTTGATACGTCAAGATCAAGTGTCCCCGAATTCGGCGGTACTGAGCAGAATATGGTTCAAATGATCGTAATCTCTTTTTATAGATAAGATAATGCAATCCCTTAACGATCTTGGTGGCCATCCTTTGTGAACGCTCAAGCATCTTGCGATCACGTTGCAACCATGAACTTCAAGCTTGGATGGCGTACTCTGTAAATAGTTGAAAGTATATTGATAGCAAACGTGGGAACAGTGCTGATTCAAACCGGCCAAAGACTCGCTGAAGTAAGCCGTCATTCTTCACAGTAGCGGACGAAGCCTTAGTACAACAGATCCTCTTAAGCAACAATACCTAAGTTCTCTTCACTTTAAGTATGTGGTAGCTGCTGGTCCCCGAGGAAATACGAGAATTTCCGTTTGTGGCGTAGGGATAGAACTTAGCAATTAGAAGCATTGAATTCAACGACATTCTCCTTAGACCACAGATAATCTGCGTTAAGTGATTCTTGAAGTGTTAAAGAGCCCTCGGGTTCAGTTATTGTATTCCATATTTTGTCGTCGTCTGTAAACAGTATAGTTTTGGGACCTAAGACTTTCGGCAGATCATTTATGAATGCGAGAGACAGATGCAGACCGAGTACGGACCCTTGTCGAACACCGCTGGTGGCATTGATAGATCCGGATATGGAATCAGAAACCCGAACTGATATGATCTGTTGTTGGAACAATGCTCTAATCCAATCAAACAGGAAATCTGGAATGCCGTAATTGTAGAGCTTCTGTAACAAAATTTGGTGATTCACCCGTACATGTGGTAGAGGAAACAACCATTTCGTCGAAGTGTTTAACTTCAATCTTCCAAGCCTGTTATCCACGGGATTAATAACTTCGGTCGAAGTAGTATTTTAATTCCCATTCATTGGAGAGGGACCGAAAGATCTAAAATTATACACAAATAATTCCTAAACATAAAATGCACATATGTTCGTATCTTTCGAAGTAAAGAAATCCGAAAACATCAGATGGAAATCGAGATTTGATTCCCTTTTCCGAGCAAATATATTTCTACTGGAATACTACAAGTAGCGGATTTATCGAAAACATAACCTATCGGGAATAACTGTTAGAAAGTAGTCCAGTGCGAGAGACCCCATCGAATGTCTAAATAACGGGAGGATTAAAAACACAATCCACCTAACGCAAACTACTAAACAGACGGAAAAATAATGGTTATCCAGCTTAAACTATTGAATAGCTAAGGATATTTTGCACCATTTTTTATTCGCTTCCTGCAGAATCAAACTATGACATAAACGGCTGTTGAAATTTTACAGTGAATAAAACGAAGACCAAATAAAAAAAGATACTTCAACACGTTCCGACTCAAGCGACCAGAACTGCAGAGCACAAACGCACAGTAAAAAAAAGACCACAATCTTGCTGAAAGAACAGCATTATTGATGGCTGCCCTGGGGGAAGTATCCGAATTCGGCGTGAAAAATATCCGGGGAGTATATGGACCATTATCAGAGTATTCCGCCGCTTTCAATAAATTACGGTCTACCATAGAGAAACGCAATGAAACTACTCGAAGAACAATAGTTGGTACTGGTTATCTTCAGCTATGCATGCAATAGTTACCATGTTCTTTTTATGTTCAGCAGATGGAATCAAAAAAGGTTTATAATCACTTGATTGACAGATAGATAGACACTACTTTTCACTTTAAAAGTGCCTATTTTCATCCCTTTTGATAAAATTTGAATCTCCAGATTTTCGCGCCCAAAAAGACCCATACCACATCACCGACCATATCAGATCCCCATTGGTTCATTTTCTCGTGACTTATTACTTTCGAGATATTTTCCAAAGTCATTGATGGCTGGCCCCTGTACTGTATATAAACAGATGGGCGATCCACTTTCTTCATCTTTAACGATCGAGCGAAATATGCAAACTCGCCTGAAGGGCCTGTCTACTTTGTTCTCTCTGGTCGGGTTCAGGTATCGTACTGCTTTATGGGGCGTTTTACATCCGGTCCCGGCTCGTACTACTCCAGCCATATCGTCCAGTCCAACGTTACAGCTTAGACGCAAAGACGATTTCGACTTAAATGGATTTGAGAGCTATGTGAGCTTCTCAAACACACGACAAAGCAAACAACAAACAACTCCCGCGCTTAAAACACACGCTAACAGAACGGATATGCAGCTTGTGTGAGGCACTTAACTCAACAACAACGCATCAACATGTTGCACACCTGGAACAGATGGATTGAGGCTCGGTTCAGCCAATATACCATAACTAATCTCGACTCATTCATCAATGTACAGCGTAATACAGTGAAGCGAGCTTCACTGATTGCTGTCATACTCATACTGCGTACTGCATACACGGTAAGTGAGAATGTATCAGGAGGATAGAGATTAGACTCTATTTTGGAGACGGGAAAAGAAAGTGAACCTCTATGGTCAACACACAGAGTACACAGCCCAACTGTGCATACATACTATTTCAAGCATTCTGATCTGATAAGGAGTGATAGTATGATCGACATTGCTGTCGGTTCGCGGCCATGATCTTTAGTGTTTCCAAACATGCCGTTTCGGAGTCTTTCAGACCCCAACCCGGAAGCCGAGAGACACTTACTCTACCTAAATCCTATGTGCATTTCTTTATGCCTCGTCTCCACGTCATCTGCTGGCTTCCACGTGGCTTTCTCCAGCCTGCAACAACCAATGCGAATAAGGCACGCTGCGGTAGGCAACTTTCGGACATACGCAACATGTGTCCTAACCAACGAAGCATATTGAGCTGAATTCGATGCGATAGCAAGTTCTTGTTTGAGGTATTCCCAAACACCCGACGACTTACTGCTAGGTCAGTAACCCGCTCACTCCATCCCAATTGGGCCAGACTACGTAGGCATCGGTTGTCGAACACTGCTAAACGACGGATTTCTTCCACCCGCAAGTTCAAGGTCTCACAACCGTACAGTAGAACTCATCGTACAGTGGTGCAGTATACGCAACTTTTCGACTTCAGTGAAACGTCACGTCGCCGCCACAGGTGTTTAAGTCCTGCGTATGCTGCTCGAGCCTTGGAAATGCGGGCGGTTATCTTCTTTGATGCGCTACCGTCGATGGTCACGCAACTACGTAAGTACCAGAAGCAGTCAAATACAACTACTTCCTGACCGTCTAGTTTCAGAACGGAACTCCGCGACACCCAGCCTTGTGGCGTCACTTTGCATTTTGAAGGTGCAAAGCACATGCCGAACGGAGCGACAGAACTTGCTGATCTGTCCAGTGCTCTTTGTGCATTCCCCATACATTCTATAAAGCAGACGATGTCGTCAGCGTACTCCAAATCGCACAGTATTTCTCCAGTTGTCCATTCAGTACCTACCACACGCGCGCTACCTCAGTCGTAGTGCGGAGAATTCATCAAGTCTGTCGGTAATCGCGGTACACAACATATTAGTCAAACATCTTATCATAATGTTTTGCTCCGCTGATGCCTAGGAAGAAGCTGATAGAAAAAAGCTTTGCCTAGCAAAACAATGGTGTCAATGGTTTCGTGAAGCCGTTCTTTAATACCCGATGGAGACCAGGCCGCGCCAGAGCTGATGTTCGTAGTAAACGGCTCCCACGACAGTTGGAACTAGAATATAAAAACAGGTAAATAATCTGTTGATCAACTCAAAAAAAAACTGTAAGAATCAACAATTCGACATTGGTCTGGTCACAGTTCGTCCCGAGTTGAAGATTCGGAATCCGCATTCTCCTCTGAGAGGATAAAGCCAGATTCGAGTTTGATCGGCCAAAATGTTAAAGCTTCACAGGCTTTCGTATTTTTTGCCTCCTGTTGTACATTCGATGTATAGTATTTAGTTGTTCCGTCGGGGCATAGAGTGTTGAAAGTGGATTCCGGTGAAAATCCCATAATCGTACGCTCCTCGGTGATGCGAAAAGTGAATGTGGACGGAGAGGTGCCAATGAATACCCTGCCATGGAACAAAATTGATTTGGAGAGAGAAAGAAGGCCGCATGGAAAAGTGAGAATTTTTGGGGGTTGAAAGGGTTCACTTGCAGTACACCAAAATACATGTCACTTTCGCTCACCAGATCTCGATTGACCAACAATGTGAGGAGGCAACACAGACGCACATGCGTGGCTACACTAACGATGTGTGGAATATAATGAAGTGAGGGAATAAGTGATTGTTTCAGTCCGAACAGATGTACGAGAACCAAAAGAACGTGTTTCCACCTTGCTAGGGGTTTACTCGGAGATCTTGTCTCTATTTATTTTTTTTCACTGTACATTAACGACCTTTCCATCCCCCCAAAATTTATTGCGTGTAAGTAAACTGAAAACGTGGTGGTTCCTCGGTCTTTGACTGATCCTGACAGTTTCTGCCAACTTGAGATTGTCTAAATCAAAGTTTTGGTTATTCGACGTCCTGTTCTTTGATGCTGTATCTTGATGAATGTGTAGACGTTCCTTTTAGCCTTAGCACAGGCCATTGTTACTAAATCTTTCGTAGTAACCAGCCTAAATTAGCTTTTATCGGTAATATCATTCCGAAAGCTGACCCTGTCAAATATCTTCGAGTTACTTAGTCATATAATGTTTTCTGGTCCAAGAGTATTGAGCACATTTACACCAGGTTTCACAGATTATCCTTCTACGCTTTTAGACTTAAAACGGTTGGAATCCCCCTAAATGTAATTCTTGAACTTGTGACAGCCTGCATTCGTCCACGTTGGTTCTCCTTTCCCCGATACATTTCCTGGTCTGAAATAAGACCTTATTCTCTACTCCGGTTCTTGTAAACTTTTTTCCCGTTGTAATGGCAGTCCCAAGATCGTTTGTTTAAGTGTGTTTGTTTCATTGTGTGTAAGCGTTTTGATTCATGTGATACATTTACCAGTCATATTCTGTCAAATAAAGAACAATGCCTACATGCCCATCTCAATAAATCTGTTTTTCACCCGAGTCGGCATTCCAAATTTAGGTTTCCTTGTGTACGTACCACTACACATAAAAATCGCATCAATCTTTAGTAGATGGAACAACTGTCATCGATGACTTGGCAAACCACCTATCACATTAGTTTCTATCGCACTCGTTTTCTCCATTTATTAAACGTTTAACATACAATATTTTCTTCACTCGAAATTATCAACAGTGCTGCAAATCTACCCGATTGGTTGTCATAAAGCTGAGCTTGACTTGCTCAATGTGCAACTTTATGGCATATACCTACTGGACAATTTTGATTTACAAATGGTTTTATTGGTTTTTCGCTATTTATTAAAAACATGTGAGAATGCAACAATTGTATTAATTGACAAATCACATATCAAATGATCACAATTAGGGAATCCGTAAAAGCTTGACAAGAAATATAACAATTGTTGATACTTTCTAAAATGTACAGTTTGAATGATTGCCAACCATAGAAGAAAGTACAAAAGCTCATCCACTGCCCAGTAACCACATACTTGGTACCACTGAAATGACATTCTCAATTAGGATAGAAGAGATCATTTGTCTAGGAAGCATACGTATTCATCTTATTTCACATGGTAGTTGTTTAAAAAACGAAAGCAATATTTTCCTACTACAGAAAGAAACTCTTCGTAGTACACTGTGCTGTTATGAATGGAATGTTGAACTTGATCAACTGATTGCAGAATTTCGGCTAGTGATTGTACATTGTTGCAATGAATATGAAGCAAATACTGTTAGGTACGTGTTTCAAACCATCAGCCAACCGTTTAAAGCGCCCGCATTCTTCGTGGACTCTAATATTCCGCCTTGTAAGAAAGAAGTACTGCATTAGAGATAGTGAAATTCGGGAGAAGCCGAAACCGAATTCCATTCACGGTAATTCTCTGACCAATCAGAAAGTGGTGTTTGCGACCGCATTTGGTTATCAAATGTTTGCAACCACATTTACAATAGTCAATAGTAAGATCTGCGTAGATGTGACTACTCGGGACACGCATAGTGAATCCACGTTCCAGTTTCACTGTATGCAATGCAAAATCGAACTGATTTAACACGACCTGCAGGGGACAGATTGCAGAAGCATCATTGTTTACACCATTGCAATCAGCTGTGGAGAGATCTAGTCGGATTGCAGTAATCACCATGTTACAGCATAACTTTACGAAGTCAAAAAGCCGATGAAACAGACGATACAGAAAAAATATGAAGTATATGAAAACATAAAAGTTTGATTTTTTTAAAGAGTTACCAAATCCCCCCATATTCGTCGCAGGCTAGTTTGGAATTTGTACCAACAAACGTCTCGGTATACGAGCACTCAATATAGATGGATAACCTCCCGAGGAGGAATGCGAATGATTGACGACAATACAATGGTTGGGGTGTCACCACTGTATCGGCAAAGTCAAATAAGCCCATCGAACTGTGCGATACGAACTTTTATCTGCAAGCCAGTAATCTTAGTATATAACTTTATCATTCCATGCAGCTATTGAAATTATGTACAAGAAAAAGATAATTCTGTTTAAACAGGAATTTATTTGGACAGATCAACGGTATGAACATGAGAAGCCAAGTAGGGCGGGTTTAAACAGATATTTTTATGGGAAATCTAAAGAAGACCAAACTGTACCACTCCATAAACAAGACACTTTTCTACAAGCGTTTTGTTGATTACGTATGTTTTTTGTAGTCAAATTTTGGGTACATAGAAACAACGCCCTTCAAAAAGTTTAATTGTTTTCACGCAAACAACAAATACACCATAGGACATGATTCATAGACATCCTTTAGATACCTTGAAGTTAACATTCATTTTCTAGAGCAAAGAGGGGCTGCTCGGCAGAGAAACGTGAAACTGATTTTAATTTGGTATCATGTGAAATCCAGGACAAAGGATATTTACGGAAGTTCATCGCAAAGTATGGCCCTATAAACGAGACTAGAATCCTAACTATAATCTCCTTTATAGATACGACATATCAAAGAAGAAAATTCACATCAAATTAGCTTTCAAAGGTGTTCAGAATTACAAACTAAAACAATCTATCTCAAAACAAGCTTTCTGGAAGACGAACTACAACACTACTTTGCTAATAATCCTACATAGAATCAGCCCACTGGTCACTGAATTCAGATTGAACAAGCCGAAATCTTAGGTTATTTCGTCGTGTATTTACCTTTTTCAGCGCACCGGCCGTAACAAGGCTGCGTAAGCACTGAGAAAGGATTATCCACCAGGATCTGACAGCACGTCCCAACAATTTTGGTGTTGAATGGATTGAAGATATCCTCTGGTTCTATATTTTGTCATTTACTAAACTGCAAAAATCGCATCAAACCAACGGCAGCATTCCGAGTGTTGGGTCGACCGAACGCTTGAAGGTTGTTACACTTTGTCGGGTCAGTACCAGGTTGACTTCTCAAAACTCATCCTTTAAAACGACTAAATTTAGTCAGGTCCTGCCATTTCAGAGATGCCAACGTATTTCTTTTCTACCCACCCATTCCCTTTGTCCCATTCAAGTGATACTGGTGACCAATAACCGAAGCAATAATTTTATCTAGTCGAAGAACTTGGTAGTGTTCTAATAGAAATTTTATGAAAATATTTGTCCATGGATGAAGACAGAAAGCGAACTTATTGACTTCACCCTTTATGTGGCGGTCATGTTTGTTTTTGCTTCTTATGAAATTTTGAAATGGAACTAAATGCATGAGATTTATGAACAGTTCGGAATCAGTTGGAATCAGTTCGTCTTCGTGGGCTATATGCAATTGTACAAAGCAATGCTTCGGAACCCACAATGAGTGGATAAAAACGGAGATTCCTGTCCGAGTGTAACAGCCAAAAGAGAGTTACAAAACACACAAATCTTTGTCTGGGTGTTTGCCTTTGTTATTTTACTACTGTAGGCACTGAGCTTGCGACAAGCAGAACATCAAATTATTTGATATGAAAATTTAATGCAGTGTTCTATGGGAGCATCAATAAGTGATTACAAAAAACCATTTTGTCAGCGTAATAGTTTGGGGCAATTTTAGGAATACAAAATCTACCTGGGTCGGCCAACATGCCGAAATTTTGGGAACAAAAAGATGAAGGCATATATGAATTGCAATAAAGGATCAGTGTGAGCAATCAGTGATGAAAGATAAATTATGTTTCGTTCTTACATCATCAACAGTGCCTGGTGCTTGTGAAAAACCGAATGGGCTAATCCAGACATTCACCATCTAAATATGTTTCCTTCCATTTTCAACTTGTGAACTACCCCATAGATTTTGACTAATAAATATACAGACAACACTTGACAGCACAGTGTCTGCAAATCTCGTTGACTGACAAAATCATTTATTGAACAATTGAATGTTTCAAAAATGCCACCTTAGTGTACGGAACCGTTTTCACTATCCATCGTAAGGTTTTCTCCATCCGCTAAGTTCTCACAAATTTGGAATATTTTTTATAAATTGATCATTTTTTGGGAGGCAACAATAACTCCAAAATCTTGAATGCTTGAACCTTTGAATGGCTTTATCGCATACAAAACCCTTTCTTGAAGTCAGAATTTCAACCTTTAACACATCTTTGTATATGAGTGGATATTATTTTCTAAATTCACTCAATCCTACGTTTCCTGTCAATAAACATACAGTTCACCTCTGGTCGTGTGTTCGTTTAACTAGAAGCTCTTTGAACAGTACCATTAGTCAACTCGATAACCAACCGGTAGTGTATAGTTTGTGATCATTTGCGTGATTCAATTCTGCTTGGTTCTTCACTTCCTATTTCACCTACACTCCCTCGTCCNCCCTCGTCCCTCTGCGAGCCGCAATCAACTCAAACCTTTAGATACAAATACCACAATTTTTAAAATATTCATTCTTACGTACATATATAGCTTTATTAGCCAATTGGAAAGGATTACCCGATGAGCAAAAAAACAGGTCGGGTACTTTTGCCGGAAATCGGGTTGTCCGGAA